GCCCCGCCCCGCCCCGTCCCGCTCTGCGGGGCAGGCCCCGCCTGCGCCCCGTGGGCGGGGGGTGATGGGAAATGTAGGCTGCTCGCAAAGCATGCTGGATGGAGGAGTGCTGGGGAGGCTAGGAGTCTAGTCAAGCCTGAGGGAGGGGCGGGGGATTATGGGAAATGGAGGCTGTTTGCAAAGTATGCTGGGTGGAGGGGTGCTGGGAGTCTGGCCAAGCCTGAGGGAGCGGTGGGGGATGATGGGAAATGGAGGCTGTTTGCAAAACATACTGGGTGGAGGGGTGCTGGGAGTCTGGTCAAGTCTGAAAGAGTGATGGAGATGATGGGAAATGGAGGCTGCTCGCAAAGCATGCTGGGTGGAAGAGTGCTGGGAGTCTGGTCAAGTCTGAGGGAGGAGCAGGGGATGATGGGAAACAGAGACCGCTCGCAAAGCATACTGGGTGGAGGGGTGCTGGGTGGAGGTCTGGTCAAGCCTGAGGAAGGGGCAGGGGATTATAAGAAACGGAGGCTGCTCACAAAGCATGCTGGCTGCCCCTCAGAGCTGCCCCTGAGGTCTCGTCTGGACCCCACTGGGGCCCCCCTCAGACGGGCTCCGTGTAGCCAAGCTCCAGCCCAGGCAGCACCAGGGCTGATGACACGTGACGACGTCACGGTGATGACGGTGTAGTCGCATCGCTTCACCACAGTGACAAAGCCGATTTCTCTTCCCGAGCGGAGAGGACACAATGAGTTGTATTTCTACCCTCACAGGGTCATTGCGAAACAGCTGGAAGGGAGACGGGGGGGATGAGGGGCTGGAGGGAGTTCACCCTGACTTGTGTGCATGCACGTGCATGTTTGTCATACTGAGAATGTTCCAGAAATACATTTACATATACATATTTTTTTACATATACACATATTTTAAGTCTAATGCAAATCTTTTGGGGCAGGGAAGTGGCTGAAGGGGAGCTGTCAAACCAGACAAGAGCAGCCAGGGCACCTTTGCAGCCCCGCTGAAGCTGGGTCGCGAGTGCTCACCCCCGCCAATCCAGTTCTTGCTAGGCCGAGACACGAATGGTGTATTGGTATTAAACCCCAGGCAAGGTCAGGGCCCCTTGCCCTGGGCTCTGGACATACAGTAACACGTTCCAGTTTGAAGAGAAAAGCCAGACAAAAGGGTGGAGAAACAAAGACCTAGAAAGGAGAAGTGATTCAGTCAAGCACGTAGGAGGAAAGGGCACCAGACTAGACAAGCTCTCAGGGTTCATGGAGTCCAGGGCCTGCTTTCTTGTAAAATGAGGTCAAAGAGCAAAGCACTGAAGCAACCCACTGAGTGACACACGAGGAAAAGGAAATCAAGCCAAAATGAGAACAAACCAAAGAAAGGGATTATGAAAAATAACATGCTTGACCTGAAAGGACACTATTTTGGGTCACTATTTTCCACTCAAAGCATTCTGAGCAGTCCTTGTCATTGGATTGGTGTGTGACCTGCCCTTAAACCAACCATCACCAGTGTCATTACAGCATCATTCCCCTGCATTGCAACGTCATGACATTGGGTAGCATCCGTCACCAGGGAATTGTTTCTCCAAACTTCATTATCCTGCTGTAAATTATCACCACCTCCCTGCGTGCCTCCTTGCAGGTGTGAATGAACACATGATCATATTTTAATTGCCAAAGTAATTAAAACAGTCTAATAGGTTAATTACCCAAGAACTGCAGCCTGGCCATGTCTTTATCATGCTAGTAGCTGTACACTCATATACTAAAAGATAGTCGCTGACTTCACACAACATTTTGTGAGCCCTAGAAATTACTCCAGGAGGGTCCAGTGCTATTCTGTAGCGATGGACTTGCTACGGTGGATTGAGACGTGAAAGCATGTCCTGATGAGAGAATTTTACCCCAACAGTGTGTGTCAGGTTAAAGTGGCTTCCTCCTCTTTCCCTTACTGGGAAACAGGCTGGGGTTCTTGTCGAGATCATGTGAAAGGCTCAGTCTTAGCTTTAGAAAGTCCTTTACTAGACTTGTGCTCCTTTCTTTCCTGTTACATTTGGCTAATCCAGAGATGTCAAACATGTGGCCTGGGGGACTCCCGGAAGCGCTGGGAATTTGTGGAAGTGCTGGGAATTTGGTGGCAGGGTGAGCAGTGTGACGGCATTAGTCCATCATGACTCCCTGAACTAACACAGCTGCTCAGGCAGCCACGGGGGTTAATGCCACCGCTGCTTGTCCCACTGATGGAGGTGGGTCTAGAACTGGTCCATAAGGAGCTCTATGGTCCAGATCTGCTGGGAGGTGGGGGTAGAGGGTGGGGAGGGAACCAGTTTGACACCCTGGGTTAATCTAAAAGCTTCTGGTACTCACCACCTAAGTAGAGCTCTTAGGGAGTTTGTGGAAATAATAGAAGAGCTTGTGATGGGAGGTTAGGGACATCTCAGATAATTTTAGGGGCTTGCACTGCTGGAAAAGGTGTAGCCTTAGTAAGACCCAGTGCCAGGCAGGTGTCTGGTAAGAGGTCTAATGCTGGAAGGGTATCTTAGAGGAGAGTTTCCAGACCTAGAAACAGTGTCTTGACCCATTTGGCTTAGAAGTACACGTGACCTAACAGATGGGCCCACACATAACAGACTGGTGACCGAGGACAGAGCCACTGGAAAAGTCCATAACACCTGCAACCATCACTCATGTAAGCCTGAGGAAGTCAAATGTGTTGAGATCACTCAGGATGCTTCTAATCTTATACCGTGAAATTATTAATGACAATGCTGAGTTATTTGTTGGGTGCTGACAGCACTGCAGGGTGTAAGGCTTACGCACCATATCCAGGGATTCTCTGTGCATTCCACATAGATCAGATAGAACAAAGAGGAGAAACACACCCTGTCTGAAGAAGCTTACAAGCTACAACAATCAGAAATAATACTGATAAGTCTTTATGCAGACTCACAGACCA